CAGGTAGAGCTTCGGTCAAGAATTCCAATGGGGTCATGCTCAATACTTCTTTTTTCCATGACCTCCCAGAAAACTGACCTAGGCGTATCACAGGTGGCGGATGAGGTCAATTTGGATAGAGCATCCGCCTGATTATTTTCTGACCGGGGCACCTGACTTAGATGGAATTCGTCAAGTGTCCCCGCCACATCTTTGACCGCCTAAAGGTATTTGATCATTGCCGGATGGGTAGCCTCATAGTCACCATTGAATTGGCTCACAATCAATTGAGAATCAGAACAGGCGTCGACTTTTCTTGCCCCTGCCGCCTTACACATGCGTATACCGGCTAGCAGGGTTTCATACTCAGCTTCATTGTTTGAAGCTTGAAACTTGAACCGTAGTGCATATTCATACGTATCCCCTTCTGGAGACTTGCAAATTACGCCTGCACCACACCCGTTCAAGGTAGAACTACCATCTGCGAATAACTTCCAAACCTGATCGATATTCTCCGGATGTGCCGGCCTAGTCATTTCAACAATGAAGTCGGCAAACGCCTGACCTTTCACTGCTCGCCTAGGTTCGAAAGTTATCTCCAGGCTTTGCATTTCAACAGCCCAATTGATCATTCTAACGGATGACTCTGTGGTAGTCATTGGACACTTGAGTGGCTGATCAGTATAGACAGTCACCGGATGAGCCAAGAAGTAGGGCTTTAGCCATTTGACTGCTTTGTAAAAAGCAAGCCCAAATTTTTCAATCATAGGGTATCGGAGCTCAGCATTTCTAAGTATATGGCTGATGAAATACACCGGGAGCTATTTGTCGTCTCTCTCAGCAAGGAGAACAACATTAAGGGAGTGATCTGTGACGGCTAAGTACATGTAGAGAACCTCCTTAGACAGGGGGCTCACTAGCCTTGGCAAAGAATGCAAGTGTTGCTTCAACCTCTGAAATGCCACCTCGGCCTCTTCTCCCCACTCAAATCTAGACCTCTTCCTGATTGCTTGGAAGAAGTAAAGGCACTTGTCACCTGACCGGCTGAGGAATCTTCCTAGGGCTGCTAGGCAACCGGTTAATTTCTGGGCCTCCTTGACGGTTCGGGGTGATTTCATGTCAATCAGCGCTTGGACCTTTTCCGAGTTGGCCTCTATGCCTCTTTGGTCAATCAGGAATCCGAGAAACTTCCCAGACTCAACACCAAAGACACACTTTTTGGGATTAAGCATAACCTTATGCCGCCTGAGGGTGGTGAAGGTTTCTCGGAGGTCGGCTAGGTGATCCGCCTGTAGCTTGGATTTAACTATCATGTTATTAATATACGCCTCTACATTCCTTCCAATTTGATTGACAAAAACGGTGTTGATATTTCGTTGGAAAGTAGCAGGTGAATTCTTCAACCCAAACGACATCACCGTGTAGCAGTACAACCCCTTATCAGTGACGAAGGCCGTCTTCTCCTGATCCTTCTTCCATAAGGGAATTTGATGGATGCCTTACTAGACGTCCATGAAACTCATCAAGGCATGGCCGGCTGTAGAGTCAACCAGGTTGTCGATCTTTGGAAGGGGATAACTATCCGTCGGACATGCCTTGTTCAGATCTGTGTAGTCTACACACATCCGCCAGGTACCATTCGGCTTTTTGACAAGGAAAACGTTTGTTACCCAATCCGGGTAGTAGCATTGCAGAATGAACCCGGCATCGATGAGCTTTATGACCTCAGCGGCTGCCACCTGAGACCTCTCCTCGCCATGATCCCTCTTCTTTTTCCTAACTGGCTTTATTTTGGGATCAACGGCTAACTTGTGGATGGCTAGATTCAGGCTGACGCCTGGCATCTCCTCCACTTTAAAGGCAAAAATGTCTTTGAACTCTTTCAGAAGTTGGAGCAAGTCTGCCCCCAACTATTCAAAAGCAACCGTCCCAACCTTGACTGTTCAGTTAGGGCGGTTGTCGTCCAGGACGACATCAATGCTCTCACCAGCCGGCTGTGGTCGAGAGTCATCCGGCCTTTCCCCGGCGAGTGATTGCTATTTTGTTTTTCTGGCGGGGGCCGATTGGTACGTCTTTCGCTTTTTGCCGACTGCCTTGGGAGCAGGCGCGACTTCCTCTTCCTTGAGGTCAGTGGGTTCCTCGTTATGACCAATTGCAGTAGCAGTCGGCCTGACGTCTGAGAGGTAGCACTCCCTGGTCGTCTTTTGATCCCCGCGCAGGGCACCCACTGACACGTCATCCCTCTCAAACTTAATCAGCATAAGAGATGGGATGATGACTGCCTTAGACTCGTTGAGAGTGAGACGGCCCAGAATAAGGTTGTAGGCGGTCAATTCCTCGACCACCAAAAACTTGACGACCATGTGCCGCCCTTCCCCCTTGTCCCCTAGCCGGATGGGTAGGTCAATCCTTCCCACTGGATGCACCACTCCTCCCCCAAACCCGACTAGGGGGTGGGGAGCCTTGTACATACTGCTAGGCTTGTACTTGAGCTTTGTCAAGCACTGGTAGCTGATCAGGTCAGACGAGCTCCCGGTATCGATTAAGATCCGGCCAACTCGTTGGTTGGTAACTTTGCATTCGATGACAATGGGGTCATCATGAGGCTGCCTGACCATGCCCCTATCCTTCTCAGAGATGAAGACCTCAAGGAAGGTGTCTTTCGACGCCTGCCCCTCATCTTCTGGGTTGGACGATTTCCGGATGTTATCCTTGGCACTCCGGATGGTAGGACCTCCGCTTGCGAAGCCTCCTGCTATAGTGAAGATATGCTCTTTGTCCGTTTCAGAACTAGCAGCCGGTTTCTTGGACGGTTGTCCCCCACTTGGTTTAGGGTTAACCTTGGACTTCACCAGATAGGACTCCAGAGCCCCCTCATCAGCCAGACGGTCCAATAGCCGCCTGAGGCTATAGCAACCATTAATGTCATGGCCAACATCCTCATGGAACTGGCAATACTTGCTTTTGTCTCTGTTCTTAACAGAGCTCTTCATTGCAACCGGTTTTTCGATTGTCAACTGGTCCTTTATCTCCATGAGGATGGAGGAGCAGTCTTTTTTGAACTCGTACTTGGGGACATACGGTTCAAACTTGCTTCTACTGGGACGGCTGACCTGGGCGGTCAGCTGCCCAGACTTCTTTTCTTTTCTTCTCTTCTTTTTTGACCGGCTGGGTAGGCCGGCTGTCTCTCCTGTCAAACCGCTTGGGTTCTGACGGGTGCTTGATGGTGCAGATTTCAGTTTCCTGTATATAGGCCTCCGCCTCCATCAGCGCCTCCTGGAGGGTAGCTACCCTCTTGCGGACAAGGTTATTTTTGAAAGTTGACCCATCCTTCAGACCCTTGAAGAAGTCTTTATTTAACTTCATCAAACAGCCCCTGAATCTGAATTCTCATCTGGTTAAACCGTCTGACATAGGACTGAAACCCCTCCTTGTCACCCTGCTGGATTGCCCCTAGGTCGAGACTAGTCTTTTTAGCCGGGATATACATGGAAAAATTGGACGCAAACAGATATGCAAGCGTCTTGAAGTTGTTGACGCACCCAGCCGGCAAGTTGCCGAACCATCGCTGGGCTATGCCCTTCAAGGTAGCCGGGAAGCATCTGCACCAGGTGGCGTCATCCAACCCCTGTAGGTACATGAGGTTGGTGTATGCCATTAGGTGGTCTTCCGGGTTGGTGGTACCGTCGTAGGAACCAACCAACACATTTTTAACCTTGGCCGGCTGTGCCGCCTCGGTTATTTCCCAGGAGAAAGCCGAAGGCTGTTCCCCAAGGTTTAGCAGTCGGACCTGCCAGTCCATAGGCTGGACCTGGTAGGCCGCCTGACCCCCTAAGGGAGCCGACTGCATGAATGGAGATCCATATGAGGCGTATGGCTGTTGGGGCACATACGGAGCCTGCTGGATAACATGAGGGCCAGTACGTGCAGTCATGCTGCGTGACTGACTGCTGTGTCTCCAAATGCTTCATTGAAGCATTTCGGAAACTGTCTGAGTAGGTCGACGTTGAGGCCGACTGAGACATGCTCTAACTTCTCTTCTCCTGGATGAACAACCGGGCGTCAGAGAAAGTCTTCTTTGACCCATCCGGCTGTGTATGCCAGATGGCCTTCCGTTGCCCTGATTCAGGGAAACGAAGTTTTGAGAGGTCTCCGTCCCCTTGGGTTTGGGGTGCGGAGTAGGCACCCGGTCTTTGATTGGCTTCCTCCCGGAGGGAGAAGGCTTATTTGTCGACTGACCCTTGTTTAAGCCAGTTGACTTCTTGAGTATGTCATTAATTTCCCCCTTGAAACTAGTCATGAGATTCATGAGTTCGTCTCTGGTGACGGGGGCAGCACCCTCCGCCGCCTGGGGTTGTTCAGGGTGCTTGCCTCCTGGGTTGTTGGGACTAACTTTGTCTTGGCCCCGTTCCCTCTTTTCCTTGGAACGGGTGCGCCTAGAGCGGAATGACCCGTCAGGGACCATGTAGGTTTCGACATTGTTGTCGTCACGGCTGACTGCCCTCTGCATTCGGTAAAACATCAGATGTCATCTCAGTAGTACTCTCCCCACAGACGGCGCCAAATGTTTCGGGTGTTTTTGGTCCCTCGGGAGAGTTACAATACGAAGTATGCGCGCCTGACTTCTGTACTTGCAAAACCACGAAACTCCGGTTGGGTGGAGTTCCGCCTCTGACGATCAAGTTAGTATGATTACGGATGGGTAAACGTGCGGAAAGTAAATAGGTATTTCTCACTGCTTCAGAGAGATTCCGCAATTAATATTGCTCAGGTTTATTTGTATGTATTTATGAATGCCAATAAATGAGGATGATTCCTCTATTTATAGCAGATGAGAATCTGCTCCCCCATTGGGGGTTCAATGGCACGTGGCATCCTCTGATTGGATCCCCTTGGGCCTATACGAAGGTGACACATGTCAGGTCCTCATTGGACCACATGGCAGGGGTTATATTTAACCCAATCAAAATTGTTTTGCATTTTGTTACAAAATTCAATATATATATATATACACACATAAAAGAACCGATAACTCATTGCAAGTTCTGTTGATAATACATTAATAAAACAAATTATTCACTATGCAGCAAATTACATCAAGATTTATAAAGGAATCAACAATTTCTATTCCTTGCACTAAGCTTCTACCAAGTAGTGCTGAAAGAAACTAATCATGTTCCACTACAGCATTATAAACAGCATCCATGAGCTTCGTACAGCACATCTGTACCCTCAGAAACTGCACAAATCAGAGACATTATTATTCTCACATTAATGGACTAATTTGCCATCCTAGATTCATAAATAAAAGTAATTACTGGAAGATCAGAATTCCAAAAATATAATACTACATGAGAGTAGAAGATTCAATTCAAATTTGCCAATTAATAATGAAGAAGAAAGGTTTGCAACGAACAAGATAGAAGAGGAGACAACCTGAGATTTTTGCAGGAAGCCACTTGGATCATTTGTGACAAGCCAGCCAAGTCTCCAGCCAGGAACAAGCCACCTTTTAAGCTATCCAAATAGAATGTAATCTCTTAAGCTATCCAAATGTCTGATGATCTATAAGTTTACATGTATCACTTAAGTCATAGTAGGCAGTAGCACAAGAAAGCAATCACGTTTTAACCAAAAGTGCACACCTTCTGTAAATGTTGGCGAGTATAGACACTTCCGCTAGGATTTCCAGGATTAATTACGACAACAGCAACAGTATTGCTATCTGCTAGAGCTTCAACTGAGTCCATGTCAACTTCCCATCCTCTTTCTGGAAGATCATCATATTGCTGGACTTTAAGGCCTGTATATGTAGCAGCTGCATCATACATTGCGAAAGTTGGCCTGGGTAGTAGGATGTTTGAACAAGGAGTAGCCAGAGAAGTTATTGCCAAGTTTGATTGCCTGTTTGCAACCAGCAGTTAGGTGAATGTCATCAGCCTTCAATCCCACCCACTGACAGGACAAGTTTGTATTCAACATTTTTTGAATTTCAATAGTTCTCTTGATACATAAACTAGGTGCTCATGAGCTTCAATATTGTGCCCAATAGTAATGATTGAGGTCCCAAATATTGCACAAGTCTAGCTAGCTCACTAGTCACCATAAGAAAGGGTACGTCACAGAAAGGCAAGTTTTAACTTCAGGCAATTAACAAGCAAATGTTGAGATTAATATATGCAAGTATTCATTCATTCTACATCATCAACACCCAACAACCCCCATAAGACAGCTCAAAAGAAGCTAATCCGAGTGTAAAAAAAGACAGTCATGACACCAAATGAAAATACAGATCATTATGCAACAAATATGAGCTAGGAGTTACATAAGACAGTCATGACTATACGCAATAATACTACTTGTATATAAAATATACCAGTTACAAAAGGCATCTCAAGTAAACAATCCAATTTACATATTATCACATTAATACCAGAACAAAAATACAATAATTTAAAAATCTATCAGACAGAATTAGAGGAAGGAATCAAGATAAACCTTATCTTCTTCCCGAACATCTGAGTTAAAACAATGTAATAAACTAAATCCATAAACATATCTCAGTCCAAACTCTTCATTTAAAAACAGCTACTACTGGGTTCTATGGAGTTAGCCTATTAGAGAGATATGAAACAGTAACGGGTTCCGCTAAACGGTTCAATCAGATGCATGTTAACTATATCAACAATATGACAAATAATTATTGTAAAACTCACTCACTTTTTTCGGAATTGGGCTTGCTAGAATAGGCCCATGAGACACATAACCCCTTGAATTACCAAAATCAGCAGATGTATTCAAGATTCTTCGTTGGCAAACCTAAAATCAAACAGGAAAGACAAGTAAATATTACTTTAGTTAGAAGATGATTTCATACATTTTCAAGCAGCTAAAACAATAACAATAACTATACTAGATAAAATATAATGTATTCAATAACTAAACAAGTCAAGAAGTTATTACAAAAATTAATCACCTATGAAGAACTACTTCAGAAATCTATGGCTTCCAACTCCTTCAAAAGCACCAACTAATTCAAAAAAAGCAACCATCCATCAGCAAAGACTAGGATATTTCTTATCTTAACCAGTGTAAAAAATGCACTACTAAATAACAATATATATATATATATATATATATATATATATATATATATATTCTCCGGAATTTATGCTGGAGAGAGAGGCTGGGGGTGGTGTTTTTGATGGAAACCATGATTGATGCAACTGTTTTAGAAAAAATAAAAAGGCGTGGATATGAGCACAGTGTTTGTTTGAGTAGTGAGGGAAATTCAGGGGGATGGGGTTTTTGTGGAGGGATGTGAATGTGGCTACTATTTCCTTTTCGAAACACTATTATGCAGCGGATATCCTAATTAATGATGGTGATCCCGTATGGAGAGCAATTGGAATTTATGGGTGGCCGAAATAGGAGAATAAGCATAAGACTGGGGATATGATGCGGACTCTCAAAAATTCGTGTTCGATTCCTTGCATTATGTTTGGGGATTTCAATGAGATAGTGAGTATGAGGGAAAGGATGGTGGTGCTATAAGGAGAGAGTCTTTGATGGATGCTTTTAGGGAAACGATTGATGAGTGTGGATTAAGAGACTTGGGTTTTAAGGGCGACATGTTCACTTGGCAAAGGGGAAAAAATCCAGAGATACGGTGCGAGAAAGGCTGGATCGCTTTCTAGCAGACAATGATTGGTGTTTTTGCTATGAGACACCTTCATAGAGAAGAGTCGGATCATGCCCCGATTGTGCTTGATACGATTAATTACTACGAGAGAGGTAGGAAGAAAAAACTATTTCGTTTTGAGTCTTAATGGTTGTCTAGTGACAAGTGTGCTACGGTTGTGGCAAAGGCTTGGAAGGAGGGATGTGGGGCGGAAGCTCATATGCACATAGCTGGGTGTGCAACAGAATTGAGGAGATGGGCTGCAAAATCATTTGGTGAGACAAAGAAAAAAATCAGGTTGGTGGAGGAGGAGCTACGGGTGGCTAAGGGGGTCCGGTGGACGCTGCCATGCTTAGCAAATGTGAAAAGTTAGGGGAGTAGGGGGAATTAAGGACGAGGGAGGAGTCGTATTGGTTTGCTCCAATCACGTGTAAATGAGATGAGGGATGGCGACAAAAAGACGACCTATTTCCACCGCAAGGTGAGTGCAAGAAAGAAGAAGAATACAATTCATGGCTTACTCGACAAACATGAGAATTGGTGCGTTAATGAGGACGAGATCATTACGATTGTAGGGGACTACTTCTCTGATTTATTCACAACTAGCAGTCCGACTGATCTGGATGGCGCACTAGAGGGGTTGGAGCAACGAGTGTCGAGTGATATGAATGATGTGATGGAGAAGCAGCCGTGTAAGATGAAAATCAAGGAGGCACTATTTCAAATGCACCCAAATAAGGCACCCGGTATTGATGGTATGCATACTTTATTTTTTCAAAAAATTTGGCATATTGTCGGTCCTGATATTGTTGCTTTGGTGAAAAATTGGTGGAAAGGGGGCTTGAATATAGATGAGATTAATAGGACGTGCATTGTTTTGATTCCCAAATGTAATGACCCGAGAAATATGACAAAGTTTAGACCTATAAGTTGCTGCAATGTTATAATAAAATAATATCTAAGGTTTTGGCGAATAAATTAAAACCATTCCTTAATGATATTATCTCTGTTAATCAAAGTGCTTTTGTGCCGAGTAGATTGATAACGGACATTGCTTTAATTGCCTTTGAAATTTTCCATTCTATGAAGAGGAAGGGGGAGGGAAAGGATGGGTTGGTGGCTTTGAAGCTTGATATGAGTAAAGCGTATGATAGGGTGGAGTAGTGTTTTTTGGAGAGGGTTATGGAGAAGTTGGGGTTTAGTGTTAGATGGATTGAAAGAGTGATGAGTTGCATTCGGAGTGTGTCCCTTTCTTTTAAGGCGAATGGTGAAGTTGCAGGTTCCATTTTTCCTACTAGAGGGCTCCGGCAAGGTGATCCAATATCTCCGTACTTATTTTTGCTATGTGCTGATGCTTTCTCTACTCGGCTGTCAAAAGCAACTAGTGAGAAGAAAATTAATGGAGCAAAAATTTGTAACGGGGCACCAAGGGTATCTCACTTATTTTTTTTGCTGATGATAGTATCCTTTTTGTAAAAGCTAATCTGCGGGAATGTTCGATGATAGCTCATATAATCAATAAATATGAAAGAGCATCTAGAGGTGGCTTTTAGCAAATGTGTCTAAAGGGATAGGAGGCAATTGATTGTTGATACGCTTGGAATACGTGAAATTGACAGACATGAAAAATATTTGGGTTTACCAACCATTATTGGTAATTCTAAAAAAGCTATTTTTGCATGCCTTAAGGAGAGAATTTGGAAGAAATTAAATGGGTGGAAGGAAAGATTATTGTCGACGCCGGGGAAAGAGGTGCTAATTAAAGGAGTAGCGCAAGCGATCCCAACTTATATGATGAGTATTTTTAAAATTCCGGAAGGGGGCCTCATTGATGAAATTCATACATTGTTGAATAGATTTTGGTGGGGTTCAAGGGAAAACGAGAAGTAGTTACATTGGCAAAGTTGGAAAAGATTGTGTCTCCTGAAGGCAAAGGGGGGAATGGGGTTCCGTGACTTGAAATGCTTTAATCAACCTCTCTTGGCAAAGCAATGTTGGCGCTTACTTACAAATACCGGGTTGTTGCTCTACAAAATTCTCAAGGCGAGGTATTTTAAGAATTGTGATGTTATGGCAGCAAATAGAGGTCACGATCCTAGTTTCTCATGGCGGAGCATATGGGGAGCCAAGTACTTGCTGAGAGATGGGCTCGCTTGGAGGGTGGGGTGTGGAAATAACATCAAAGTGTGGTCTGATGGTTGGCTGCTAAAGGAGGGCACGATTGCTGTCCTATCTTGTCCACCTACGGTGAATGCTGATATGTTAGTGTATGAGCTATTGTCGGATGATAGAAAGGAGTGCAATGCAGCAAAAATTGAAGAAAACTATTTGACCCTGAGATAAAAGATAACATCCTGGCTATCCCCTTGCCACCACACCTATTGCCAATTCTCGGTATTGGTTCTTGTCGAAGAATGGGCTTTATTCGGTGAAAGCTGGATATTGGCTTGCGAAGATGGGAGCTAGAGATGTTGGTGATAATGCAAAGGAAGAGGAATTATGGAGGTCTATTTGGAGAGCTAGAGGTCCACCCAAGCTGCGGCATTTTCTATGGAACGCAGTGAAGGGTAACATGGCTGTCAAGGAGAGGCTTCGGCAAAGACATCTCACGCGTGATGCGTCTTGTTCTTTATGCGGAGTTGGAATCTATTGTGCATTCTCTGATTGATTGTGCGGTTGCAAAGGAGATATGGCAACATAGTGAGCACCGTGAGCACTTGATTGATGCGCCTCGTTCGAGTTTTGCTGACCACTTATGGCTTTGGCTTTGGCTTTGTAGAAAATTAAATGCAGAGGTGGTGTGCTTGATGGCAGGTTTAATGTGGGCTGCATGGAGGGGGAGAAACATGATTTTATTCCAAGATGAGAGGCCTGATTCGGTGATGCTAGCTGCTGGTTTCCTTAGGCTCGTAAGTGATAACAACTCGTATGCAGAGAAGGTTTCGACAGTTAATCCTGTTCATGGGATGCATAGAGGGGTAGCAAACTGGAGTTGCCCTGCTGTTGGTAGCGTTAAGGTCAATACCGATGCACATGTTCTTGCAGACTCGAGGTGTGGTCTTGGGCTGTGCTAAGAGACGCTGAAGGTCAGATTATTGCTGCTGCTGTGAAGAGTACGCCATGCACCACCCCTGAAATTGCTGAAGCAATGGCAGTAAGATTTGCTATAAATATTGCTTGGAGACTGGGATATAATAGGATTGAAGTGGAGAGTGATTCCTTGAATGTTATCAATGCGGTGAAGAATGTGACGCAAGGTTTAGCACCTATTTTTCTTGTTTACAATGATATTACGATAGGTAGCATGTTATTTGATGTCTGTAATTTTAAACATATTAAACGTTCATGTAACACGATTGCCCACTTGGGTGCAAGGTGGGAAACCGGTGATAGTTCTGAACTTGTACGTTTGGATTCGTTCCCCCAAAGCCTAACTACTTCGGCGGATCTTGATCTTAATTAATAAAATGGCATCGCTACCGTTTCCTCTATATATATATATATATATATATATATATATATATATATATATATATATGAATGATATACACACATATATAGGAAAATTTAGTTGGTAAAAGCTTCAATAATGGATACACTCAAGTAAAAAGATATTATCAAATTGCCTGAGAATTTATCAAATAAATACTGCAGTACTCAAAATTATAGAGCACCAATTGAATATATATACATGAAAATACTATATTATTCAAAAACCAGTTACTAAAAAGCTTAACTGTTGACAATAATAAACCAAAAAATTAACGAAAGTCTAAATTGAATAATATGATTATGAAAAATACTATCAAATTGACTGAAAAATTCGGAGAAAGTAGGGAGTAATAAATTTGGGAATCTTAAGCAAATTATTTTCTTACGAGTAAGTTGGGAGCTTTAAGAAACACACACTACAACAATCACCACACATCAAATAAAAAGCCAAATATAAAGGTAGGAGCAAATCAATTCAACAACAAAAACGCCCAAACCCCGAAATACAGGAAGCACCTACCTTGATCAAATGACAACTCAACCTTTAGCAAGAATAGCAAAAACTTGAAATGCATATACTCTATTAACAATTTTAAATTGTCTTTCAATTAAGCTTTAAATCTGAGTAAATTTCGAGTGGTAGCCTACTTAGATTTGACGAATTTCACAAATAATTAGGGTATTTTCAATTTAAACATAGATTTAGGGTTTTGCTTATGCATACCTTGATCGAATCGACGAAGTTTCCCAAGGAGTGAGAAAATGACCACTGATGCCTTGATTCACCATAAATGCTAGGTATTTGAGGGAGATCGAGTGAAAAAACACAGGAATTTGCACCTATGATAAGAGAAACAAAGAAATAAAGTAAGGAGATTTGAACGTGAATAAGAGAAGAAAAGAGGAACGAGTGAAGAGAGAAACAAAAGAGGTAGAGAAAGCGAAGCGTTAAACCTAAAATAAAAATATATTGCTCCGTTTTTTTTTTAACTGGAGCCTTTTCGATTTATTGCTTCGGTGGTGTTTTTTTGAAACCGGAGCCTTTTAGATTTGTTGCTCCGGTTTTTTAATTACATGGAGCCTTTTTACGGTAGTAAAAGACCTTTTTTCTACTTAGTGCAAAGACTAAGTGTATTAATTTGAGCTAATTAAACTAGTAGGAAGGATGTGAGGTAGAGAGAGGAACAACTAAAATACTACTTTAAACAATCAACAAAATATTAGGAAAAGGGGAATCTAATTACATTAATATAATCAACAACAAATTGCAATTAGATGATCACGATCTCAATTAAGAACAATCAACACACTCAACTCACTCCCATGCAATTAAGCATGCTAATTAACCTACTAAGCTAATTCACTCCCGTGCAACTAACCTAGCATAGGTATCGAAGAATCTAGACTCTCAATCAACTAACTTCCGCACAATTGATTGAAAGCACAATCAGAAACCTAGAATCAATTAGCTAAAAAGACTCTAAGCAATGTAAACATCATCCACACATAACAATCAAGAATCAATTGCATCCCAATCACAATCAATCATTCAATTCATCAACATAACATTCATCCATTTCTCTAGAACAAAATCTAAGCAATCATAATGAAGAAAAACATGGAAATCATGGTAAAACAAGAATTAAAACAAGAATCAAACAAGTAATCTAATTATCTACTCTAATTCAACAAAGAATTAAGCAAAAACAAGAATTAAAGAAAGCAATAAAGGTGAGAGAAAGTTAGAAATGCTCATTGAATAGTTGATAAGAGAATTTAAATAATTGCTTCTTCAAGCTCTCAATTCTCCATTAAAATCCCTAGCTTTCTCTCTCTAAAACTTTTCCTAATCTAGAGAGAGAAGCTCCTAATCTAAGCCTAATCCTGATTAGAGGAGAGAGAAAATGTGTAAAAATCTGCCCAAAAGTCCCCTAATAGGGTCGACCCCTATTTATAATACAAGAAGAAAAGGGAGAAAAACCGGAAATTAGGTGCGAAGAAAACCCAGAAGACCGTGCCCGCAGCCTAGAATGTCGCGCCCGCGGTGGCTGATGGAGAGGCCTCTCTCAAGGCGCGGCCAGCCATCTATAGGAATGAAGAAAAAACTGGAAAATGAATTATGCCGCGCCACAGCAGGTCTGCCGCACCACGGCAAGGACCACCGTTTCACGGAAGGTCTGCCGCACCACGGGATGGACCACCGTGCCACGGAAGTTGCTACTTGTGCTTGCTTGGTGCTTGTGCTGTGCGGAGGGTAGCTCGGGCACTGGTTCCAACCTTAAGTGCTGCAAATGCTCTACTTCTTAGATTCTTCTTGGCTTCAAGGCTTCTTCTATTGAATTTTTAGGCCTTCTCTTGGGTCATCAACATTGAGGAAAGTGCCAAGTACATATACAAATAGACCAAGAGAAAAAATAGTGAAAGATCACATAGAAAAGCACACAAATCAAGCTAGAAACCGAGCAACAAGCGCATTATTCATAACTAAGGCCTAAAAACATAAACTAAGACTTTATTAACTAAAACAAGACTAAAAGGACTAGAAATAACCAAGATAGACTAAAATAAACCTAAAACTAAGGGAGAAAACCACCCTAAAATGTGTCATAAATGACACTTATCAAGAGCATTTGTTTTTCTTTTAATTTCTTTTTTATGCTTTGTCTTGTTTGTTTGGTTTGCTAGAGTTATGGGTCAAACTCTTAGGAAACCCTTACGAGACCTCACTCGTCCTCATAGCCAACTTTGGAGTTTTAAGGGCTTGTTGTCACTAAAAACAACCGTGATTCCTACGACAGTGAGTTAGTGTACATTCTTTCCCATTCTTCTATTTTTTTTCTTTTGCTTCCAATAATTTCATCTTGTTCTCTTTTGCTCTAGCTTTGCTCGAGGACGAGCAAAGGTTTAGCTTGGGGCATTTGATGAGTGACATTTATGTCACTCTTAGGCTAGGTGTGTTCCCTATTTAGTTTGCGTGTTTTGCCTTTAGTCTTGAATAATGTGTGTTTTTGCTTATTTTTGCTTGATTTGCATGCCACTCCCTTTGATCTTTCATTTACCCTCTCCTTCGTCTCTTATTATATGTGATTAAAGCTCCTTTGATGTTTGTTGGTTGAGGCTAGTCTAATTTAAGTCTTTGATGAGGAAGCTTGAGGAAGATAAGAGGAAGCAAGAGGCAAATACGGAGAGGGCGCACCTGACTTGAGCGCGAGCACGCAAACAAAGCAAACAAGGTGGAAACGAGGCAGGAAGCCACCGCGTCCTTGAAGCGCCTCCACCGCAGGCGCGGCCCTGGCTGCTGCGAGCGCGACCCTGACATGGAGAAGGCGTGCAGATCGAGGTCCACGGCATCCTAAAATCAGTCCTAGAAAATATCGGGTGCGCAGGCCTATTGCGCGGGCACACTACTGCGGATTTTGACTAATTTTATTCGTTTTTAGTTCCTTTCTTCAAAAAACTATAAAAGGGGGCCGAGCCTCCTATTTTGAGAACCTTTTTCCAGATTTCATTTTTCTAGTTTTAGGAGAGCTTCTCTCTCTAGATTTAACTTAGGATTAGAATAGTTTAGAGAGAGAAAGTGAGGATTATTCAATGAGAGATTGAAGATGATGAAGATGCAAGAATGACAATTGTATTGGAAGCTTCAAACATCAATCAATGAGAAATTCTTACCTTCTCTTCTCTATTTTTATTTCTTTGTTTTGATTTTGCTTTGTTGATTGCTTGCTAATCATGCTTTTACTTAATAAATTTGTTGATTAGCTTGTTGATTGCCATGATTATGGAGTAATCTCTTTTGCTAAGGTTTTGAGGATGGTATAATTGAAGCTTGAGCATGTTTTAGCTACATAATTTGGTTTGATCATGATTAAAGTCTTTGTATGCTTGATGTTATTCAATTTGCTTGCAAAATGCATGTTGTTTGTGAATTGATGCTTGATGATGCGATAGCGGACCTTGCTAGATTCATTGTTGTTGATTGTGCGAAATTGTATCTTCTAATATATGATTCTAATGCGATAGCATAGAGGCTATGTTAGGAGAAACCTTTTGGCCTTGATATGTGGTTGGGTTGGACCTTAATTCGGCATTCAATTATACATAGTTTGTGATCATTCCTATTATATACCTATGCATGCTTGAGTGAAGCTTATACCTACCCATCTCCTTGGCGTTTTAGTATTTGTCTTAGTCTTGTATAGCCTTGTAGTGTTAGTCGTCGTTTCTTTCCCCTTTTTGGCCTGGTTTAGTTGTTGGTAATGGTTGTGGTGATTAGTTGTTCTCCGTGGATCGACCCTTGATTTACCACTAGACTTGTGTTTAGTGTTTAGGTTTAGGTTTATAAATTTGTGTTTGATTGAAGGTGTTTAGAATCCAACAACCTAAAATAACCCTCATCAATCATGCGCATGGTACACCCGTCTGTACGATTATTTCTGTACATTATCTAGGTTTTTTTTTTTTTTTTAAATTAGTATGTAAATGAAAGAAATTCGGCATCCAAAGAAAAAGTACATTAAGTAATGACATAAAACACTAAATCATTAATTTTTAACAAGATTCTTAACTAATTACAGATGAAAACTACACCAAAATATAAATAAACTTCTCTAGATCAAGTCATGTGAGTTATGCTTATTATCAACAATCTACTTCAATTTGGGCTAATTGAGTCATATGCTGTGCTAAAAAACCGTTTAACGGTACAATTATTCAAAATCTTGAGCAATTTCTGGTTACTAGTACACCTAGGTGTCTTAAACTGACTCAAAGCAGCCCCATTTCCTATGTAATACTCCAAAATTTTCTTAAAAGTTCCTCTTTCAACAATGCAAAGCTCTAATGGTCCTATAGAGTTGGTCTTCCTAGACACCACGTAACCGTGGTCGACGAAGGACTCATCCATCTTTTTGCAACACTCATGTAGCACTCGCTCCTCTGCTTCCCCCTTGATCTCCCAAAATATTACATAATGCCCCGGCGTGCTGGCCACATTGGCATGGCTCGTGAAGTCGATTAGCTCAGCCTGCTGACTCAGAATCTGAGACCCTGTCTCGACAACTATCTGCAGGTCTTTCTCTGTGTTCTTGTCTATGTTGACTGTCAGAATCAGCTTCCTCCTGCATATGAAGCTCAGTTTTGGGGTACCTTTTTGAAACCCAGATACTTGCACCACATCTCCTAATCTATACCTGTAAAGTCCTGCCAAAAGAAATTAAAAACGTTAATTAATTTCATATCTTAATCATTCTAATGTTAAATTAAGTGATGTATAATAAGGATGGATGGAACAATCAAATGCTATGATAAAGACATAAATGATGCAGCATTTTGGAATGTACCATATTTCTGGGGCTAAAAAGTGACTTATCAAAGTCAACACAAAATTAATGATTAATTATGCACTAATCTATCGACATATCTAATCCAATATGTCATAATTATTCCTTCTACAATGACACCCAAATAATAAACGTGACTAATCCTAAATTGTGGTTCCTAAAAGCAGTACGTAGATATATGGAACACGCATCATGCATTAGCTTTAGCCGCATTATAGCTACCACACAACTGTGTAGAACAAGGTACACGGCCATGTACATCACACGGCCGTGTAGCATTCCATTAGGTACACGGCTAGCATCATATTGTTGTACACCAAGTCATCAACACGCAAATGGAGAGCAAACTTCTCCGATTGCATTACTAATTCCAACAATAGGAATATCATATGAGTACAATATTAATGAATCAAAATAAAATATTTAACTTAGTAACATATAGCTAGATAACGTATGTACCTGTAAACGTAGTTAGGACTATCTCATAGTCTTGACCAACCTTGACCTTAGATAGTGGAACAGGTTCATCTTCAATGAAGTCATCAAAAGCAGATGACTTTCCGTCTTCATACCTTCGATTTCTTTGAAGAGGTATGAACTCGAAGTAGGAGAACGTAGGCACGACTGCATAGGTGACATTCTCAGGAGGGGAAGAAGGATCAATATTCACCCCAATCCAACTTTCAGTAGACCCATAATCTGCACTTATTAAGGGCAGATTTCCTGCATAATGTCTTAATTTCTTAAGGTAAGGCTGCATTGATCCTGTCATTATAGAATAAACATACTTCGCATTTGGCCATAACTTCGGTATTAAGCCAGACCAACTCTCCTTCTCTAGTTCCTCGCATAATGCTCTAATTGTCAAGGCCAAACACGGGTTTGGGTACAAACTCTGTAAGACAGATTCACGGACAGAGGGAATCGTAATTCTTGAGCTAAGTTTACCTTCTCTGATGTCTCTGCATAGCTCATTCCATAATTCTTCTAATGTTTCGAGTGCTTGTACTATGCTGAAGACAAATGTCGACGTGATAAACTCAATTTTACTGCTAACGAAAAGGCCGAGGAGGAGGTGGCAGTACGTTGTTTGTGCATAGTCTCCACTAGAAATCACTTCTAGAGGACTGCAAGTGTAGCACTTGGTCTTTTCCTGCTTCAGCTTGAATTCTTTGCTGTTGAAGTAGTGAGTTGTAGCAGTTCCTGCAGTAAGGCCTCCCTTTGTCTTGAATTGCTTGCTGCCGTAAATGAACTCTAGGATCCTTCCTCCAGCTTTTGTTGGATAAACTCTGAAATTGAGTAAGCAAACAAATATTGTAAGAAATTATAATTCATTTTTGAGATCATTATATTAAAGTAAAATATTTCTTATTAGTAGCTTAATTTCGGATGTCAATAATAACAGTCTAAGTAATATTTCCTTCATCATGAAATTAAAGTACTCCGTGATAGAGTATAGTGTCATGTTGAATTGATAAGAGTAATCAAAACCAGTAATGTGTTAATCAAATCTAAATGAAAGGTATATCATATCGATACACTAAAAACGAAGTTTTGGACAAGATACTATGTTTGCACAAATTTATAAGGCGGCTTTTTTCCCATTTAAATTTTCTTGATTGGAATAGTTGATGATTGTAAGAAAAAGAACTCAAACCTTGATCTAAAAGCCGCTGCCAATCTAAATGTCTGAAGAGTAGTGTGAGCACTGTGTTGAGTAAAAGGTACGTACTTTTGCCTTCCTTCAGTGGTACCAGAGCTAAAATCATTCAAATTATTTATCATACTACATTAATTATATAAAATCAACGTATGAAAAAACAAAAATAAAAAAAAAAAATAAATAAATAAAAAATAAAAAAAATTCTAATTGTTTGAAATTTGAGACTGCACTTAAACCATTCAACATTACAAAAGGTTGATATTGATAATGTATATATCGAGATGAATCTAATACAATGTCAAGAGTGCAAACAAGTAAATACCATAGTAAAAAGGGAATATAGAAAGAAGGGGGATTTTACCTTAAAGAGAAGTGAGTTATAGGGTGTTGAGTGAGAAGTGGAGAGGTATCTCCATCAGCAATCTTGTAAATATAAGGCTCAATATCTACATGACTCGAAAGCGGGACTAACTTAGTAAACATCTTTTCCAAAGTACATGCATCCATCTCTCGAATATTCGTGACGCCCCCTAACCACTTGCTTAGATACTCAACACCATAATTGTCCTCAAGAATCTGTCGAAGTGTTTCTTGTTGCACTGATGTTGCATTGTCGGATATCTCGTTAAACCAGTCGATTATTTCGTAATCCTCGACACCCATTGCTGGTTTAACTTCCTACAAATTGTGATCAACATAAAAAGACGATGACATTTTATGCATAAATAACAATAATAATAACAATACAATTGAAAAAGTAAGCAAGTATAATATAGGAATATTCTGTTACATATGAATTTTAGTGAATATTAAGGACCATCTATCTTATCTAAATAACTCTGACAACATTGGAGGACCCTGTAACGAAGGTGATAGTATGTAGGTTCATATGCTAGGTAAGAGTACGAAGGCATGTAAACCACATATAAAGGTAAGTGAAAGACTTGATTAAGACAGATGTTATGTGACGGCCATCGTAGACAAGTTGTTCAAGGGACCAAGATTTAAATCAGCCTTTATCACAGGTTGTCATATATACTTGGTTATGTAATGTTATATCCACTTTTGACATTTATGGGGAATTGCAATAATTATCGGCAAATCTTGGATATCTATGATTAATACTACCTTTGTTTCATATTACTCGCAATAAAGAGGTACTATTTGTGAGACATAAAATAATCTTTTGTTTTTAAATACTTGCTCTACTTTTCATTTCTGGCCGTTTTTAAATACTTGCTCTATTTCCTTATTTGGAAAGCCTTTACAATATAAAATTTATTTCTCTCACATAGTGGACCAAACATAAATCATATTTTATTAATTTTATATTCTTTCTTTTCCAATTCTCTCAACTACTTTTGTTTTTTATAAGTTTTTATTCTTTCACCTACCCCACTACCTCTATATTTTATTACTTTATCTAATTTCTCCTTAAACTCCCGCACATGGAGAAATAGAACAAGTATAAAAACGGAGGGAGTATTTATTTATTGCAAGTAATATGAAATGGAGGTAGTGTAACGGTCAATGATTGTCAAAAGAAAAAAAAAAAAAAAAAAAAAAAGGCATTCAAATTTTTTATAAAAATACAAGTTTATCACTATGATAAACAAATTATGGAGAAAATTTAAGTTAATCTGCTCGATAAACAAAATATGTTTATCAAATGCTAAAAGTGTAAATAAATCAACTTTTTGTTAAAAAGAGGCCCCTTAATAGTTGATTTGTTTATAATCTATCATGCCATGATGACTAGAAAATGGGTCCCACAATAGTTGATTTATTTACAATTATGTCATGATGACTAGACAAAATTGTTGATTTATTTACATTTTTGCCAATTCATAAACGATTTTAACTGGGGCTTCCTCCAAATTATGTCTATATAATGGCAAAAATGTAAATAAATCAACAATAATTTTTTTATTAAAAATGGGCCCCTTGCTATTTTTTCATATAATTGTAGAATTATCATGGTGACTGAGCAATATTGTTAATTTATTTACTATTTTGTCACTTGATAAACAAGTTTTATTTATCAAAGTGATAAACTGGGACCTCCTCCAAAGTTTTGAAATTATAATACAAATGAGTGAGGGAAAATAATACACCAACTCTAATATGTGGTTGGCCACACCGTGTGGCCAGCTATCATGGGGGTTACTTTATTAGTGTAATAGGGGTTATATTATTCGGTCAGTGTTATAGGGGTTTCTTCGTCAGTGTTAAATGGGTCTCAGTCAGTGTTATAGGTGTTACTTTTTTCTTTTACAATTGGTCACATGGTGTGGCCACTCGCACATATAACGCGCACATGTATTTATTCCAATTTATAAAGTGATTAGGGTGGCAAACGCACTGCGATGCGCGCGCAATAGCTAACTATGCCAGGAGAGCTCTTCAATTGTTGGCAATATGAATGAGGAAAATTTGACAAATATTTTACGGTATAATTGTCCACACATTACTATTCTTAAGAGTTAAAAAAAAAAACAATTAACATCAATGAGGGTAAATAACTAAATAAGCAAATAAATATTTAGAGGGTATATTTTTCCAAACACTATTTACAAGAGTTAAATCATCAAATTACACGAGGAAAAGTTTAGAGGCAATTAACATCATATCAATTAGGGTTTATAGGTAAACAAACATATTAATGGTATAAATGTTTGCACACTATTCTTAAGAGTTTTTTAAAAAAGCAATTAACATTAATGAGGGTAAATTGGCAAATAAACATTTTAGATGGTGTATTTGTCCAAACTAGAAGGGTCCAAGCCAAAGGAGCAAGCTAATTATGGTACTTGGATGATTGTCCAAAGATCTTCAAGAAAGAATGTTTATAGTGTTAAGAAAGATGCTCATGTTCAGAGTAACTAGCAAAAGGTCCGTGTGAAAGGAATGGTGTCATTTGAACAAGTGTATTATTCCAGTAGATGGTTCGAAATTAATTATAGGACTAATTAATAAGTGAAGTCAACTAATCGAAATGCCTAGTTGGAGGCCGCTTCCTATCAGTGAGATTAAAATAAATAATCTCACAGCTTGCTCTTGACTGAACTTAATGGGTCTTACACAAGCACAAAATCAAACCGTAAAGACGGATTAGGCCGAAAGGCCCAAATATGTCAATAAATACATTGTAGACTAAAACATTGGTATTTAAGCTTGGAGCGTCAGAACCAACTGTTAAACATTAAGTCAATCCAAAAAATCAACTAACGAGGAAAAACATAAAGCGAAACAACGTGCTTAGCGCATATTCTTAGCACGAGGCCTTGTTGCGGCATGCATATGGGGGCAAGGACAAACTGCTATGCATTGGCTGCTAGGCTTGTTGATGCAAGCCTATGCTAGCCAAGCTAGCAGCACCAGCAGCCCAGCATGTTGTTCGCCTTATGTGTAGGCTGGCTAGTAGGCTACCCTAAGGTAGCAGCCCTACTGCTAGCACCATGCAGGCAGCATGGCAGCTAGCACAAGGCCGTGCTCACTTGTGGCCTGTGCTTGGGCTGGCAAGCTGCCATCACGACTAGCCTTGGGGAGCAAGGCTGCTAGCTAAGCGTGCCTTGCTGGCCATGGCTGGGCAGTTGTTCTTGCTGCCTAAGGTGAGATGGGATGCCCTAGCTTGCTCTCCAAGAACTTGGGTGGTCCTCCTCACCCACCCACCTTGGTTGGCCTTCACTTGTCGCTTGATTATTGGTTTGCTAATTAATTTACATTTAGAATTAAATTAATTAGGTTTTCCCTACCTAGGGTTTTGCATTTAATGGATGATCCTCCTTTATAATTACTCCATCGTTTAGGAGAACTTATTATAGGAATTGGATTCTTAGATCTCAATTTAAAGTGAGAACCTAGAGTCTAAATATTCTTGAGTGTCCTTTTGACGTTTTAAGCTAACATTTATTGACCCAGGTTTGATTATGCGGGGTGGACTATGTTGGAGAGATTGCGGGTGCGATTCTCTTGCTTTGTCCGAGTTGAAGCACGTGTCAAAGGTATATTCTTTATACTTTTATGTGTTTCTTTAATCGTTAGAATTTATACATGGGTCAGGGGACGGGTTTTAGGTTTCGCACGTTAATTAGATTAGCGTAAAAATGAAGCGTAGTACGAGTGGACTAAGTAAGGAGTTAGGGTCTAGGTTCGAAGTGCTTCAGTTAGAGGAAGGTGCAGAGCAAGATCATATGGATTTACTGAGAAATCAAACTAGAGAAGAGGTAAAAGAGAATCGGGTGATTGAAGGCTCATTGCCTAATGTAAGCACATTTAATTTAGGTGGGGATCAGGATATGGAAATTTTGAACATTAGCCAATGAACTATTTCCTTAGATAAAGATGGACAGAATATTTTGGGAAGTTGTGTACTAAGGAAAATATATCTTTATTTCAAAAAAAAGATATAGTTAACCGGTAAAGAATCCCTTTATCTCCTACTTTTCAAGATCATGTGCCTAATGTTAACTGTTTGATCAAGCGAAATTCTAATAGTTACCTTCTCAAAAGTTCTTTTCCTTATTCGAGACCCTTGTATTTTGGGGAAAAAAATTATTTTGAAGTTGCAACCTCAACCCCTTTGGTTTTGAGGAATCTAGAGGGTGTGGAGAGTAATCCTTGTCTAAATTTTGATTGTGGTGTTAATGGAGTATCCCTATGTGCCAATAACCCTAAAAACTCGAATTCCATCGTATGAGATGTTCATCGATTACTAGATGCAGGGTCCCACGCTAGTGTCATGCCATCAATTAGTGAACAAAGCTCTAATCCTAGTGAGTTCATTCTTGCCACCGGATCATAATCCCTCTGGAGATGATGGCTTCATTTCAAATTTCGTACAAAATGGAGGGTCCTATGAAAATTTTAAGGGAGATGTATCTTTTCCTCCTACCTAATGTTCCTTTGAACATTTATGATTGGTTTCCCTTTTTTCCACAATTTAACATGTCTATAAAAATTTTGATATGGAATTTTCAGGGTGTTAGTAATAAATGAACTCTTATTAGAGAGTTAGTGCGTTTTAATAAACTACGATACTTGTTCTTGTGGAGACCCATGTTAGTGGGGGTCAAGCTTAAAAAAATTGTGACAAAATTGGATTTTCTGGTCAAACTCAAGTTGAGGCTTAAGGTTTTGTAGGGGGAATTAGGCTTTCTTGGAGACTGAAGAAGTTTATGTGAATACATATGATAGTCACATGCAGCATTTGCCTGTTGAAATTCAAAAGCTTGTAGAAGATCCTTGGCTCTTTTCAGCTGTGTATGTGAGCCCTGATGGTTCAATTTGTAAGGAGATATGGAGAAAGCTTGAGAGAATTAAAGGGAATTGGGAGACTTTAATGAAACGTCTAGCCTTAGTTAGAGAAATGGGGCAGGAGGTTCTAAGATGGTTAGTCATTGTAGAGCTTTTGCAGATTGGATTGAGGGCAATGATTTTATTATTTTGGGGTGTTCGAGTTCGGAGCATATGTGGTTTAGAAGTAATTCCCCGGATACTTTCAATTCTGCGCGTTTGAATAGAGTCTTGGTTAATGACTCTTGGAGGCTTCGGTTTGATAATGATGCTCTTAGTAATCTGCCGAAATCTATGAGTGATCATTGTCCAATTTTAATTAATACTAATGGCTTTGCACCTATCCCTGCATCTTTGAAATCGTTCTGTTCTAAGGTTGCTTTGATGAGCCACGAAAAAATAGAGGAGTTTTTACAAAATTACTGGGATAATAATGCCCCGTTTATTCCTTTCTATACAAAAATTAGTTGTTTTCTTGGGAAACTGAAATAGAGAGGTTTTTCATTACATTTTTCTTAAGACGTTAGAGCTATTGGCCAGGCTAGATTCTCGAGGGCATTCAAAGGCAACT